GTCAGGTGGGGAGTTTGGCTGGGGCATGTATTTAGGCTTCACACACATGGTGGGAGCAAAACTCGACAGCCCAGAAGGCAAGATGCTCGTAAGTCGATGTGTACGTAGATGGACAGGAAACCAAGGCAGTCACATATATCAGGAATGACGCAGTAGATGAGTAAATATGATAACGGGCTCCATCTCTCTCTCTCTCACACATACACACATCTCTCAGTTTCTCTTTCTCGCTATAGCAATATAGGTGTACATGTACATTCAATGGGTCGTGGTATACAGAATGTCGTCAGGTTAGAGCATACAGCCACAGCCGGATGGTTTTTGTTCTTCCAAGTTTCCATAGTGGGCCGTTTTAAGCCCATAGCTCGAACCGTAGACCCCAAACACTAAACCCTACACCACCCTAAAACGCTAACAGCCAAGGTTTGGGCTTGCGGCTCCATCGATGAGCTGCTTGACTTCGGGGCGACCAAGGTAGGGGTTTCCTTGTTGCGATGATGTCAGGGTTTAGTGACTGGGTTTCGGGGGTTGGGCTGAGAGTTGCACCCCAGCCCCAAAAGGCGTAAACCTCAGACTCAAAGCCTTTCGGGTTTCATGGTTCAGGGTTTGGGGGTCGCAAAGCCTACCTGTTCAGTTGCAGGTCTTCGCACAGTGCGAGCACTCGGGGTATATGGAGTACTACAAGATCTCCAAGTGCTTCATGAATCGGTGGACGAAGCTCCTACATGAGAAGGATTCTTGGACTTAGTAAGCCTGAACAATTACCAATTCTATTCCTTGGGGTTCAAACATAGAATGATCTGGTGAAATGCCCTCCAAGCCCTAATCTAATTATTGAGGTCCTCATATATGATGTCTTTTTTGCATGCTTTTGTTTCTTTGCCAGGGCCAGCTTTGAGGATTCATGGCTTCAGGGCTGCTGGCTTGCGTTTTCAGGGTTTCCCAAATCTGAAACCCTAGGTAGGGCACGATGCTTCTCTCCCCCTCTTCTCCTATGGGTGGCTGAACAGGGCTTTACGTTGCCAATTTGGACATTGAAGCCCATGGCCCGAGCTTCAATGCCGTAGCCCCTTTTCGGCAGCATTCCGAATCCCGAAAAATCGAACTTATCAGCCCTTCTAAATGTCATTGAGCCCTGAAGCCGATACCATCCTATACCTCCAATTCCCAGGTCCCAAACCTCAGAACCCGCTCTAAGCTCCAAGCCCTATGAGCCCTAGTCCCGAACAGAGCTTGCTTACCCTAAACCCTAAACCCCAAAACCCTAAACCGCAACCCTAAACCCTGCTACTGCTTCCTTTTGGGAGCGGGAGGACGCGGAACTCAATGCCCTGGGCGCCAGCATCTTCGCGGTTTGTCCAGGTTGGTGCCACACGAGTATCTCGACTGGAATAACTGAAACGAAAAAGCCTACTAAAACCAATAATGATCCTAATAATGCTCGAGCATCTAGACTTTCTGAAGCCCTCACAGACATTTGTAGTTTGGGCATATGCTTCAGGAACCCCTTAAGGGAAGCCGTAGAGGATTTAACAGAGCCCATAAAGGAGCGCTAGAATGAACCCTTACAGGAACCTCGAAGTGTTTAAAAGGAATCCTTAAAGGAAGTCTCAAAGGCATGGGTGACAGAGCCGGTGGCATCTCGTCGCGCTCGGCGGACGCAGGCGCCGAGAGCGTGATGGCGGCCACTCTGGGCCAGGCTGGAAGCCCGGTTCAGGAACGGTTTAGGGTTTGGGGGGTTCAGGTCTTGAAATGTGCTGGTTGCAGGCGAACTTTCCTGGGTCTGGATTTAGGGTTTAGGGTTTCGCTGGATGTCGCAGCATGGCATTCCGCAATTCGTTTTGATAGGTCTTCAAGGTTTTGGGTTCAATGGGCTGAGCCCCAAAAGCTGGTGGCTAGGTCTGAAGAATTGGGGTTCAGGGTTCAGGGTTTAGGGTTTCGGGGTTTTCCATGAACCCTCAAACCTAAACACCATAAGCGCCAGCCCTGAGCTCCACGGGCTTCGTGACGCCTGACTCGGGCAGGCGGAAAAGCGCCTTCAAATGAACACCCCAAGCCGTAGCCGACCGAACGCAGGGGTTGAAATGACTACCAAGAGTCTTCCTTAGGTAACCTTTCCAGTAACCCTTATTGTACACTTCAAAGAAGCCTTAATGGGGAGCCCATATATTCCAAGAGCCCTGAACCCGAAACCCTGGACCATATTTGGGGTCATTGAAGCGGCAAGCTTTGGCCGAAGCGCTGGGGGATGCCCCAAGGTGCCTGCTGGCAGCTTCACGCGGGATGGGAAGCAGATCGGCGGCAAAGATATTTGGTAAGATATTTTAGGTTTAGGGCTTTGGGTTTAAGGCCTAAACCATCAACTCCTAAACCCTGAAGCCCCAAGCGCTGAACTTTTTTGGTCCTACGCCATGGATATCCTGGGCCGTAGACAGGATACCGTCGCATTGCAGCGCGAAAAGTCCTCATTGATGATCCGATACGAGCCGTGAGTCTAGGATGGCTCGTGTGGGCTTGGGGTCGTGGCTCGCTTCCTAAAGTTATAGCGGGTGTTTGAGCAATGGCTCAGGTCAGTTTCAGTGTGCTTGGAGGCTGTTCCGTGCGTGATTTGATATGCAATTTGTTAGGGTGTCCTCGTATACCAATGGTTTCAGGCCTGCCTATGTTTTATCTCGGGGTTTAGGGTTTAGGGCACCGGTCTTCAAAATTTAGTTGTATGGTTATAGGTTATGTATATATGTATATATGTATATATGTATATGTGTATATATGTATATATGTATATATGTATATATGTATATATGTATATATGTATGTATGTATGTTTATGTGTATGTGTATGTGTATG